TATTCCAAATTGTTGGTTTGCTTCTTGGCTTCACCTATTCTACTATTGATTCCCTGTATATTATTCTTTATTTTAGTTAGTGCATCCTTCATTTCTGACTGGTCCTTTTTTATGTTCTTGATGTTCTTTGTAAGTTCCTTGACGTTCTCATTAAGTTCCTTGAGCATCCTTATAACCAGTGTTTTGAACTCTGCATCTGATGATTGTTTATCTCCATTTTGTTTAGTTCTTTCCCTGGGGTTTTGTTCTATTCTTTCATTTGGTACATATTTCATTGTCTCCTCATTTTGGCTGCTTCCCTGTGTTTGTTTCTATATATTAGGTAGAGCTTCTATGTCTCCTAGGCTTTTTAAAGTGGCCTATGTAGTAGGTGTCCTGTGGGGTCCCAGGATAGGATCCAGTGGTACAGCCTACCTGATCACCCCAGCTGGGCTCTTGAGGTGCACCCCTATAGTGGACTATACACCCAACTGTTGTAATTGAGTCCTGATTGCTATTGGCACATCAATGGGAGGGATTTAGTCAGGCTGATCAGCTGCAAAGACTGGCTGTGGCCACTGTCCACTGACCTCTGACTACCTTGGAGAATCAGCTATGCAGGGCCCATTACAAAGAGCAAGACTTACTTCAGCAGGGTTCTGGTACCCACTGAGCCCACTCCTTGGGTGTGTTGCTTGTGGAGGTGGTTGGGTGGTAGTGCTTCAACATGGTCTGAAGCTGTCCTCTGGGTGTGCTGGCTCTGGGGCAAGGTCAGCCACTGCCTGTGTTCTACCCTGGGCTAACAGGCATAAGCTACAAAGTGATCTGCAGATGGCTGCTCTTGTGCTGGGCTTGGAGGTGCCCAGGCAAAGCCAAACTCTGAACCAAGGTGGGCTGCTTCAAGTGCCAGGCCTGGGCCCACTTAGTGAGAGACATGGGACTCCCTGAGGCCAGAATTTTTGTTTGAGAGAATTTAGGAAAATCTAAAGCAGGATCCAAGACAGGGCAATCCTATGGTAAAGCCACTAGAAACAGCTTGGGTGGATCTGAAAGTTGGGTGGGGCAGGGCCTCAGGGAATCACCAGGGTGGGAAAACAGTGTGAGCCAAGTTGCTGGAGTCCCAGATGTGGCAGCTGTCTGCCGCCCCAGGGGAAGGACTCACCAAAGGAACCATGGCCTCCGACAGCAAGTCTGTCCAGGAGAAAGCTGCCCCTCCAGCTCTTGCCCCAGTGCCAAACAACTCAGTTATTCCCTGTATGTCTCTGGCACCTTTCAAGCTTCCTCCCCTACACTGGAGCCCAGAGGTAGCAAGTCCAAATAAGTCCATTTGTAGGTCCTTTAAGAGGAACTGCCTGGGACTCCAGCAGCCTCAGCTTCAGTTCCCTCTGGTATTTACAGCCAGAAGTTATGAGGACTTCCTTTCCTGGCACTAGAACCCTGAGCTGGGATATCTGATGTGGGAAGGGGATTCCTTGTTCCTCGTGAAGGACTTTCACAGTGGAGGTATCCCTCCTGATTTTTATCCCCTACACACGGGTGTGGAACCAGCCCATCTGCGCCTCCACCCCTCCTACCAGTCTCCATGTGCCTTCTTCTTTAGTTTCGCAGTTGTAGGACTTCCATTCAGCTTGATTTTAGGTGGTTCTGAATGATGGTTGTTCTGTAGTTTAGTTGTCATTTTGATGTGGTTCAAGGATCCTACTGTTTAAGTGCTTTGAGAATATATACACTTCTTCAGATCTTTACTTTCCACCACTATAGTTCAAAATGCCTTAATCATTTACAATCATTTTCTAACTGGAGTCTTCATTTCTATTTGTACCCATGCCCTCCTCAATTTGCAGCTAGAGTAATAACTGTATTATAAAAACAAAAATATAAAATGTCTCTCCATCTTAAAAACAGCTTCTAATAATTCTCCGTAACATCAGGATGAAGTCCCAGTTCTCTAACGTTGCCCACAAAGCCTGTATAACCTGGGCTTTGTCTCTCCAGACTCATTTTGTCAACTTTCCTCTTTGCTCATAATGTCGTCTCTGCCCCAAGGCTCACTCCATGATTTTTCACCTAACCAATTCCTCATCCGTCAGGTCTCTAATTGATTTGTGACATTCACTGAAACTTACCCAGATCTTCGAAACTAGGTTAGGTCTGTTTTATGTGTTCATACCACCCTGTGCTTTGTCATGCATGCATTTATCACAGCTCTAATCAAATAATAGTTGTTTGGTTATTCTTGGATATCTAGCTCTTTGGGTTGACTGTGAGCTCCATGAGGACTTGTCTTATGTTCAAAGCTATAAATCAAACACATAGTACAGTTAATAGCACAAAGTAGGCACTCAGTAAATAATGAGTGTCATATTTGCATCTTTGCATGTCTGTGTATGTGAAAGCTAAATATATAAAACGAGGACAAAAGAAATTTAGATGATGTCCTGCATTCTCTTTGGTAGTTGGAGGTTGTTCTTTGCCTACTTGATCTTGTAGGAGGAAGATTCAATAGGTAAGAGACTCACTATAATACATTTTGTCTAAGTCTGACCCTGAAAAAAGTGGTTTATCCATACAAAAAAAAAAAAAAAAGTAAGTCAACTATAAAGGATAGCGGAATTCAGACTGGATTTATCAATCTCTATATCAAAATTTAGTGCTAAAAGAAAATGGAGTAATAGCCTACGAAGCACACAGGTAAGAAAAAAAGTGTGATGCAAGAATGAAACATTCGCCTTGGCTGGTTTGGCTCAGCAGTTAGAGCACTGGCCAGTGGACCAGAGAGTCCCTAGTTCAGTTCCTGCTAAGGGTACGTACCTTGGTTGTGGTTTGTCCCAGGCCCCGGTTGGGGTTGTGTGGGTAGCAACTACTCAATGTGTCTCTCACATCCATGTTTCTCTCTCTCTCTTCCTCCCTCTTTCCCTCCTGCTCTATATGAAGATAAATGCAAAAATGTCCTCGGGTGAGGATTAAAAAAAAAATGAAGAATGAAACATTCAGCAAGGTGTTTTAAGATATAAAAGAGTCTGGAGAAAATGAATGGAATATCAAATCTCTATTTTCAGTTATGAAGAGTTAGGTTATTCAGACATATCCCTACTGATAACAACTAAAGATGCTGGATAAATTAGTAAAAAAACAAACAAATAAACAAGTCGCAGCTTGCTGCAATAGTGCACACGTGTCTGCGCATCCCTCACCATGCTGGCCAGCCACCCATGTGCCGAGTGGTCTGTCCGGTCTGTCCGTCTGACTGGACCACACCGGCCCTATGGCATTCCCACTGGAGGAGGGAGCGGGAAGGATAAAAGCTTGCTGGGACAACCAGGAGGCACATGTCCTCTCCACATGCAGCAACGCCAGTATCTTTTAGAGGATAAACGCCATATTGGATAATTCTCTGGATTTCAGTCGAGTCTGCACCACACCCGTCAATGGAGAAGTTCATGATCGTTTGACAGCAGACTTCCTCGACGCTGAAGAAACAATCACAAGCAGGATGCTTTTTCCCACCTCTGCACAAGATTCTCCCCAGGGCCTCCTAGATGCAAATGACTTGTGCCTTGGCCTGCAGTCCCTCAGTCTCACAGGCTGGGACCGACCGTGGAGCACCCAGGATGCAGATTCCTCAGCCCAGAGCAGCACACACTCGGTACTGAATGTGCTCCACAACCCACTGGGCACTATCTTGAGGAAGCCCCCCTTGAGCTTACTGCCGCTGGACCCCCTTGGATCTGACATGGTGGACAAGTTTCCAGCACCCTCAGTTAGAGGGTGCGGCCTGGACACGCGGCCCATCCTGGGCTCCCGCTCCAGCAGCCCCTCTGACTCAGATATCAGTGGCTTCAGCTCTGGATCAGATTATCTCTCAGACTTGATTGGATGTAGCTCCTCAGGGAGAGGGTGGGAGGGCCAGCACGCCTGGCCTGGGGTGCATGTCCACTAGAATGCTGGGAGGGGTGGAGGCCATCGTGGGCACGTCCAGAACTTTTCAACCTCAACAGAATAGAGGATGCTTTGTACACCCACTGAGCGATGCATTTCAGGACCTGAGCCTAGGACTCTCTTTCTGAGTTACTCCAAGAGCTGTTGGGTAACAGTTATTTCAATAAAAGAAAAAAACAAAAACAAAAAAAAAACAAAAACTTCCCACAAGCATCAAACTGCTGATGAGATAGTAAGAAACTATTAGGCCAAAAGCTAAGAGGAGGTGGGAACCTAGAAAAGCAAATGGGGTACAGAAACACAAAAGCTACTCTTGGCCCTGAGGATATTTTCCAGTCAGGGAACATCTATCTAGCTTTGTTTTTAGTAGCTTCACTGGGCATGGAAAGAGCAGCAAAGGTTCAGGGCTACCCAAGGTCACAATGTTATTACGTGACTCTTCCCATATTAAGTTGGGACTCCTTTAAGAGTAAGAGTAAACCAGTACCCCAGAACTTCAGAAAATATTACTTTTACATTAACTATGACAGGAGAAAAAAAAGGAAAAAAAATCCCATCTTTGAATAGATGTAGTCACTGGGCAGCTCTTGCTTATATCTGTAGCCTGCATTAGCAATAACCCATGAAATCTCAACCCATGAAAATTGGTTTCAGACTGAGAAGGCCTCAAGGCACCTGGCAGGAGCAAACGGATCCTTTTTGGAATAAACTACAAGTACTTTATCTCACATAGTGTTTCAAGGATAGAGTGAACATACAAGGAAACACACATGGACCATACATAGAAATGTCAGGCAGCAGAAAGGAACCTGAAAATAATTCAGACGTTAGAATTATCATGATACTGAAGACAAAACAACTGTGATTATTATGTCTAAAGAAATAAAATAATCCAAGTACTAATTAGCAGTAAATGACAGAGAAATACGCTGAATTGCTCCATGTATACGGCATCAGCATAATCCAGATTGGAGGAAACTGTAGAGTCAAAAGCCCCAGGTTTGTCAACAGAACATTGTAAAAAAGAGAAAGCTTTCAATGTTTTACCACTAAGTAAGGTGTTATATGGTTTTTTGCAGATACACTTTATTGGATTAATTTCCATTCAATTCCGGTTACTGAAAAACCCAAGTTCGGCTTCTCGCTGCTCGAAAGCCAGTACTACAGAGACAAGTGTTGGATGGAAAGGAAAGTTTGCTTTATTCGGGAAGACAGCAGGCTAATGTCCAAAGACCATCTCCGAAGTTCCAGACCAAGCAGAAGAGTTTTAAAGGGGAGAAAGAGAAGGGGGCGTTCCAGGGAATTGAGAGAGGTTTGTGTTTCTTCAGTCACAGATAACACTTTTTCACTTCAGACTCCTGGGTGTCAGCAGCTGGTCTCAGCTATCTTGAAGACATTCTTTCCTTCTGCAAAACAAATTCAAATTCTCCTGGAGACCCTGAAGTTATTTCCTGCTTGACTAAGAGACAGTACATCAGCAACTTATGAGTACACTTGTGAGAACAAAAGGAGTTGAGGCGTTAAGCAAAAAACGAGGTTAACGTGTAAACAAAGGCCTGATTAAGAATTAAATTATTTAATGCTAGCTGTCAAAAATACTAGGGGCATTAAAATCACAAGGGGCTTACCCTGGTCAGGTGGCTTGGAAGGCTAGGGTGTCATCCCACTCACAAAACAGTTTTGGGTTGGATCCCTGGTAGGGCGCCTCCAGGAGGAGGCTACCTTCCATGTCTCTGTTTGTCTCCCTGTCTCTGGGAGAAAAAAAAATCACAAGAGGCTTGGCTACACTCCTGCTAATAATCTAAGTACCACGAGTACCTGTGATAAATAAGTTTTTAATTATTTCTTTATATTCGCGATATTTTCTCCATTAATCAATTATTACCTTTAATTCTTATGTTCAAACCTAACTTGCTCGTAATGTATTATTATGTTTATATGATACTAGATTTGGTTAACTTTTTGCCTATGAGATTCTGCATCTACATTTATGAACAAAACTGGCCTATTATTTTCCTTCAATTTGCTGCTCTTGTCAGGTTTTCTATCCGAGTTATACTAAGCCTAATGTAAAGTTGAAGTGTTCCCTTGTTTTTATCTCCTGTTCCCCATAGATCTGGAAGTATTTGATTAAGATGGAAATTTTGGCCTGGCGGGTGAGGTCACAGGTTCCATTCCTGGTCGGGACACCCGCCCAGGTTTTGGGCCAAATCCCCAGTGGGGGGCTTGCAGGAGGCGGCCAGTCCACGTTCTCTCTCATGGACGTTTCTCTCTCTCTCTCTCTCTCTCTCTCTCTCTCAAATCAATAAAAAAATAAAAAGATGGAAATGTTGTTTTCCTTAAGTTTGGCTGAACTTGCCTGGAGTCGGCTTTGTGGGAAGATTTTGGACCACCCTGCTCTTTTTAAACCGTTTTGGTTTTCTAGTTCCCTGCACGGGCAAAGTACCTCCGCCGGTCTTCTCCACTCGGAAACACTGAAGAGGCCTCCGGCCGCACAACCTAGGAAAACGCGCGCGAGGCGCGGTCCTCGCCGCCAGGGGAAACAGCGTTATCACACGGGGCGCAGCCGCCCCGGGCCGGTGCCCGGCACCAGGTTCTGACGTCACTGCGGCAGCGTCCCGAAGGACCGCAGGAGCCCATTGCATTGTGGGGCCGCGTGGATACCCTCCCGCCTCGCGTAGTGCATCCGGCCCGGTGCCCGGGGCACTTGTTTCTCCCTCCGGCACAAACGGTTTTCCCTTCTGGGAAGAAGCGGGGCGTTCCCATTTCCGAGAGCAAGAAGGGCCAAGGAAATGGCGCCAGTCCAGGGGCCGCTAAAGGTAGCGGCCCTGCCCCGGGCCCTGAGACCTGTCGGTGGCTTACGCGACCCTGAGAGAGACTGTCTCCCACCGGCCCGGCCTCCAGGGTCACGTGCACGTCACGTGACTCTCGCGATGCTCGCGGCTTTTCTCAGTGGTAGTTTCAGGCGAGAGTGCTTTTACCTGCCCGCCCGCCGCGGTCCCCGCTGGGGCTGTCTCCAGCGTTAAGTCTCCCAGATCCCACCTCCACGCCTTCCTCCGGGGTGCAGAGACGTGCGCCCCAGCTGCCCGCCCTCTCGGGCTCTGGAGGAGAAGGTAATCCCGGAATTGCTGGTCAGCGGAGTCGGGACAGGAAGCTCTCGCTCTCGTCGGCTGGGGCTGTCTCGGTGGCCGCCCAGAGAGTGGGAGGAAGTGCGGGTGCCCCAGGCGAGGTGGCGCTCCTGGGTACTCAGCTGTGTCTGCAGCTCCGCAGACGGCCGGAGGTGGAGCAGGCCCTCGCGTGTGCTGGTGGCGGTGACGCGGCCGTGTCGCCGTCACTTTCTCTTCCTTGGGCTCTCGGGAGCGAGCGTGGATCCCAGACGCCCCAGGCGTCCCACGAGCATACCTCCACCCTTAGGCACCCCACAGCCGCTTCTTCCTCCTCCGCGAAGGCGTTGCGGGGCCTTCCACCCCGTTTTCCTGGATTTCTGCCTCCAAACCACCCCACCCCAGCCCCCGCCCGGGATTAACTCAAACCTGCCCCACGGTCCAGATTGGCATATCAAATGGACACTGCCCCTGTTTTTTAGGCTTTAGCTACCCAGTTCGAGAAATACCTTCCTCCTTGTCCCAGATTTCCATCCCCGCTACTAGAGGCTTACTACTCTATCTGGCTCGCCGCATCGGCTCGAGCCCTCTTATGATATTTGTCATACTTTTCCCTGGCCACTTTTTAAAAAGATGTTTTTATTGACTTGCAAGAGAGGAAGGGAGAGGGGGAGAGAGAAACATCCATCGTTTGCCTCCTGCACGCCCCCTGCTGGGGATTGCGCTGGAAACTCTGGCAAGTGCCCTGACCAGAAATCAAACAAACCTGCCACCACTGGGTGCGTGGGACAAGGCTCAAGCAACTGAGTCATACCAGCCAGGGTTTTTCTTTCTTTCTCTCTCCCTCTCCCCCTCCCCTCCCCTCCCCTCCCCTCCCCTCCCCTCCCTTCCCTTCCCTTCCCTTCCTTCTCTCCCTCTCCCCCCTGTCCCCCTCTTTCTCTTTCACTCTCTCTCCCCCCCCTCTGTCTCCCTCTCCCTCCCTCCCTGCTCCCTTCCTTCCCTACCTCCCTCCTTCCTCTCCCTTCCTCCCTTCCCTTCTCTTTCTTCTCTCCCTCTCCCCCCTCTTCTCCCCCCTCTTCTCCTCTCTCCTCTCCCCTCCCCTCCCCTCCCCCCCTCCCTCCCTCCCTCCCTCCCTCCCTCCCTCCCTTCCTTCCTTCCTTCCTTCCTTCCTTCCTTCCTTCCTTCCTTCCTTCCAGAGGGGGAAGAGAAAAACAAAAAACAAACAAAATTCCACATCAGCCCTGGCCCGTTTGGCTCAGCGGTTAGAGCGTGGGCCCTGGCACCAGTGAGACCTGGGTTCGATTCCGGCCTCGCACATACCTCGGTTGGGGTTCGTTCCTGCCCCTGGTCGGGGTTGCGAGGGAGGCACCCAGTCGATGTGTCTGAATTGAAATAATGCCCTCTTGAGGATAAAAAAACAAAACACATCATGTGAGAGAGACATTGATTGGTTGCCTCCCATAGGCGTGCCCCAAGTGGGGGTCAAACCGGAAATCTAGGTTATGTCCTTTGACCGAGAATCCAACCCTTCCCATGCACCGGATAATGCTCCAACCAACTGAGCCATACCAGCGGCCTCCAGACTTCCAGCCCAGTCTCCCATTACAGGAAGAATAAATACGAATTAAGAGGACAGACCCTGGCTCTTTGTGACTTGAAGCAAATTAACCTCATCATGGGAATAGTAAATAACACCTACTTCACTGAGGATAAAGGAAGCTAATGCCTGCAGAGCACCTAGAACAATGCTTGGCAAATAATAAGCCCTGTGTAAGTGTTAGTAATTCTATCATATCAACTCCTAATGAGATGGAAGTCTTATATTAATAAAACACCCAATTAATTACACAAAGGGCACAGCTCAGAAGTTTTGTGGGTGTGGAAAGAATAGAGAGCAAACCTTACTTTTTACTCCCAACATTCCAACTATCTTTGGCTTAATTTTTATTTCAGTGTCCTTCCAACCAAGTAAACGTGAAAACTTTATTAGGAACACTTGCCTGGGATTGGAGATCACCAAGACTTTCAGTTACTAGAGAAGCTGAAATCAAGAGTATTGAATCACTGAAAAAGGACACACCAATTAATATGTAACAATTTTAAATATATACTAAGTAATCAGTCTCGGCCCCAATCCACTGATTAATACATGGAATCAACTAATATTCTTAGCACCAATGGTGTTAGGTCAAAGTCTCAGGGAAACCCAGCTGCAACACCGCAGATTGTTTAAAGAAGTATTTCCCTGAGCGTTGGCTTGCTAAAGTGAGGTTGAAAGTGCAGCCTTCTAATGTCTTTTTATAGTTTGCTCCTCCAGGTGGGAGGAGAAAGGGCCCCCAAATTCACAAAGGTGAGCTTGCATGAAGCCAAAAATATTAAAAGTTTATATTGCTCTTTTCTCCAAGTGAAGGAAAGAATGTTAGATGAGTTCTGAGGACTGGAGCAAAGCAAACCAGAGGGGAAAGAGAAAAAAAAAACCTTTCCAGCCATTTCTTCAGCCTAGTAGCCATCATTGCTGCCCCACCCCACTGCTGCTTATACTTGTGCATTTCCTCTGCAGCTAATTTCAGTTGTTGTGCAGCTGACAGCTGATTCCCCTTGTCTACCCATTCACATTTCATTTTCAACTTCTGTTCTGCAGCCATTTTTCTTGGTTTCATTGAGGGTGTATACACTCTTTGTTAGCATGTTCAATTCTGTTTTGTTGGTTGCTATCACAGCTCTCTGCTTCAGGATGTTGAACTTAACCTTCTCCTTTTGTGTCAGCTGTTCTTCACATTTCACTTTCACTTCATTGACAGGAGTTTCAGTTTGATCCAAACCCTGGTTCTTGACTTTCTGATCTGTCACAGATTGCGATCTGTGTTTGTCCTTTGCATGATGTCATTTAGAATTTTATTAGCTCCTTCAAATATTTTGATTTAAATTTAAGTGTTTCATCAGAGTGAATTCTGTCTTGTCTTTTGGTTCCCTTGGAGACTTTTCTAGGATTCACTGATCTTCTGTTCCCAAATGGTTATTTTTTTCTGCAAGTTCTGCATTATCTTTTATGAAATTATTGATCTCCTCAGTTATGTGCTGTAAATTAACTTGATATACTCGAGGCTTTACAGCAAGCATAGTTCTCCAGATGAAGATGAATGCAGAAATTCTCAAGATGGCAGTACTGATGTTATATTAACATATAGGATCAAATTAATGAGGAACTGAACTAATGAGTTTTTCTGTTGTATAATCATGGAGTGTCTGGATAAAATCCTTTGGAATATAACCAAATGTAAGACTAAACCTGTGCTCTGGCTGAGGGCGGGCAGAACAGACTAGAGTCTTGTGAGGAAAGACTGGGTTTGTGGCTCTGGGGAGAGAGCTGAAGGGACAGCTGTCAGGATCCCTGCACCGAGTCCTTCTTCCAAACCGCAGAAGCAATCTTTTTTGGGTGGAGCACTCCCCTCCTTGTGTTGTCAGCCTGGGGGAAAGCCTGATTGGCTTTGTTTCTGTTACAGAGACTGAGTGCAGTCCTAAGCTATGATGCCTGCAAAAGCTGCAAGTTGGGGAAGGGCACATCATAGGGATTGTGACCCCTCCACCCACTACTTATTGGTCAGACTCTGGGCCCTGCCTCAGTTGTCTCACTGCTGTTGACTTGTGTCTGGCTTTCCTGATTAGTTGCAGTTTGCAACAGTGATTTGATAGCCAGACTCTGCTGCCCTCATCTTTTTCCTGGTACATACACCCTAGTAAGGCAGTCTGGTTACTAAATGCAGCATTCCTCAGAGAGGGATTGATCTTTTCTGGATAAATAATGAGGACAAAAGGGATGGGAAGTTGCCTGGCTGGTGTGGCTCAGTGTTTGAGCGTTGACCCACGCACCAAGAGGTTGCCAGTTTGATTCTTGGTGAGGGCACATGCCTGGATGGTGAGCCTGATCCCCAGTGGGGGGCATGTGGGAGGCAACCAATCAATTTTCTCTCTCATCGATGTCTCTCTCTCTCCCCCTCTCCCTTTTCTCTCTAAAATCAATAAAGAAAAAAATTTTTTACAAAGAATGGGAGTTTATGTAAACTTATTAAAATTAAAAAAATTTTTTTGTTAATCCTCACCTGAGGATATTTTTTCCATTGATTGTTTTTTTTTAAAAATTCTCACCCGAGGACATTTCTGCATAGAGCAAGAGGGAGAGAGAGAGGAAGAGAGAGACACATCGATGTGAGAGAGACATCAACTGGTTGCCACCCACACTACCCCAACCGGGGCCGGGGACAAACTGCAACTGAGGTACGTGACCTTAAAGGGAACTGAACCCGGGACTCTCTGGTCCGCGAGCCGATGCTCTAATGCTGAGCCAAACTGGCCAGGGCTTTTCCATTGATTTTTAAATAGAGTGGTAGGGGCAGAGGAGGAGGAGGAGGAGAGAGAAACATCGATGCGAGAGTGACATATCGATTGGTTGCCTCCCACATGATCTCAACTGGGGCCAGGGATCAAACCTACAACCCAGGTTATGTGCCCTTGACCAGGAATCAAACCCATGACTCTTCAGTCCACAGGCTGATGCTCTAACTGTTGAGCCTAACTGGCCAGTGCTTAAAATTTTGTTTTTTAATTCAAGATTTCACTCTGAATATGGTATGTGTTTCTGATTAAGTTGTACAAAAATGCTTTTCGGTAAAAATGCTTTTATGCCTCTTGCATATAACCCTTCCAGATGAAAGATTTAAATAGGAGTAGGTGATAGTTGAAAAAATGTTGCATTATGATTGCTGAATAGGACACAACTGATTTTGTAATGATGGAGGAAAAACAAAACCCCAGCACCTGAGGACAGAGGAGGAGGTAGGCTAT